TACGTGTTAATCGAAATGAGATGAGCAATTCCATTTGTCAGCTGAGAACACTGAGGTAGTGTAAACTTGATATTTGGCAACAATTTGACGGAGCTCCAGCACCATAAATAGCTGTTTTGAAGTTGCGTAGTCCCTCACCGCTAGTTAACGAAAAATGTTGCTCGTTTCTTGGTGGGCCTCTCGGTGACGTTCACATGGGTTGGTTGTGTACCCAATATCTGGTGTCATTGTACGCGCCCGGAAGGGACTTGTTAATGTAAGCTCACTTGTGAGCGGATGTGAGTTTGTGAAACATACAGCGTCTCATTGGTCAACCTAGACTGTGAAACTGCCGCTCTAGCGTGACAAACTTTTCCGGCTGTGGAAGCACCCAGAACAGTCGGCTGGCCTTAGCGAGTGTCTCGGTAGAAGCAGAAACATTCACATTTTGGTCACATAGAAATTCGGGCTCAATAGGGTCAGCGCTAGATGACAGCTATAAGGCCATTAGCATCCACAGTCGAGCACACGGATTCCCGTCTGATGGGCGGATTACAGCGACGGCAACCAGACTCTTATAAAATCTTCCCGTAGGGGTTGATAGATCTCGACTGTCCCTAGTTGAGTCGTTTTGCATATTTCGACTAGACTTTGGTATCTCATGAAAGTCGTCCTCATTGGATAACCTGAAATTAACACTTGTGAACTTGGTAAACGAACCTATCCGATCCTTTGAAGTACAGAACAACTAATGGGGTGGCTGGGAGCACTAGTCAGCTTTAGTGCCATACAAAAATGAATGATTGACAGAGTGACAATCATTGATTTATCTGGAGAATGATAGCCAGACAGCTACACTGCAATGCACGTTTCAAGTATAAGCACCATTCATTCACGACCCGCTCACATGAGGAAAGCCATGCTACGGGGAAGTTTGATACCACGAAAACAGACATCTCCAAAGCAATTAAACATTCTAGGTAGATGTGAAGATTTTTTCCACATCAAATTCACTCCGCTTATGATAAAATCATGGGTGAGGTGTCTCATCCGGTGTTCTACTAGACAGTGAAACAAAACTGCCTGAAACCCGTTGGGACAGTGCTTTATGGTTGGAGCCGACTAGTTTTTAGTGTGTTAGTTGGTGTGTTGGTTACTTGGTCAGCACGATACACATGATTTTTTACTGATGAGTACGGACTGATGTTCATCAGAAATTATTGTCACCTCGGTTTTCTTAGCACATCACTTTCAAGTGGATTACTCCGCTCACCTAAATTCATATATCATCTATTGCGCAGCTGATATGCAGACGTCCGATTTCTTGCAGTACAACTACGCAGCTGACTCAAGCGTGATATATGTATAAACCTGTTATCAGTGAGATGTAGTGAGACGCTATTCCCAGTGCAGTCCTCGATGTGCGTGTGTGGTGTATAGTACCTAGACAGTAAGTTTCCAAACAGGGACAATACTGTTAGTAAAAACGCAAACAGTTCACACCCTTTCCTTGAAGACCACAATGGCAGAAATGAGAGATTCCAACGATGGAGAGTACCGGTGAAATCGATGTGTCACGACTTAGTCTTCTTTGCCCTCTGAAAAAAACACATCAACCGGTTGAAAAAGTAGGTAGCGGGCTGGGGAAATAAACTCATTGGCAAATCAATTTGGTTTTCACGAGAGACTCAACTGAGTCTCTCGTTTATGATATTCTAAAAGTGAATGTGCTGCACACAGGCCACCTCATGTTCTAGTTGGCACCATATTCGAGATACCGCAGTATATTTTCATAAAGGGAACTGCTCACAAGGTTGCTGAAAACTCTTCGACAACCCACAACTAGTTTCACCCTTCTTGAGCCTCTCGTGAAAACCAAACTGATTTGCAAATGAGTGTATTTCCCGAAAACAGTCCAATTTGGGTTCAAGTAGAACATAAGGTTGACGGAAACTTGGGGACTATGCCTATCTGATGAGCCCCAAGAAGGGCGAAACCGGTCGTGGGTTGTCGAAGAGTATTCAGCAACCTTGTGAATAGTTTCCTTTCAGGTAGCGGTCTGTTTATCACCAAGAATGCAAGATTTTTCCATCCTCTTCAACCCTGTAACGATGATCCTCCATAGAAAGCAGCCAACATAGTCTAAATGGAGTTGTGGTTCCTCGTAGGCAGTCACTTTTACTGACCTCAAGTTAACTAATAATAATAAGCCAATGAAGTGCAGAAGCTAGTGAAGTGATTTAATGATTCTGTTGAATAAGGTGCGCAATACCATCTCTGTTCCTCCGAGAGAAGCTGGATAATCCCCCCTTAAAAGTACAACTTCTTAACAGCATCGCTATCATCTCCATTTTCTCTATCAGTAAATAATATTCACTCATAAATGTTATAGTTTTCGTGTTGACAGTCGAGGAAGAATGTACGATTCAATGTTCAGAATTCGGTAAGCTACGCAACCTTTAGTTTAAACATGCAGAACCTGAAGCTATCAGTTAGTGGAATGAGGTCAGCTCCTCGGGTTTTTTTGAACACCTTCAATGGCGTGCCAGGTTAAAGCAACTCTGCTTGTCAGTTTCAGGAGAAAAGCTGTTTGAGATTTGCTGGGAACAGTCAAAAGAGTTACGATCCCCGAAGATGACTCTGGCCAACGAACTCCAGTATACCATTGATTGGAAAACGTTCGCATCAAAAATGCATTACTTGTCGGACACGGTCCGTGGAGGATTTACTCTTCATGCCGATCGATCCTCCTGTACTCTCCATTAGCTTTGTAGATGATCCGATAGGTTTTTTGAGCCGATCTTCAAGTGTGTTAACAATTACTGTTCCTCATGCCACAGAATCTCCTGCTCGATTGATTGCATTGGCTACAACCGGTCGTGGTTGTCGAAGAGTATTCAGCAACCTTGTGAATAGTTTCCTTTCAGGTAGCGGTCTGTTTATCACCAAGAATGCAAGATTTTTCCATCCTCTTCAACCCTGTAACGATGATCCTCCATAGAAAGCAGCCAACATAGTCTAAATGGAGTTGTGGTTCCTCGTAGGCAGTCACTTTTACTGACCTCAAGTTAACTAATAATAATAAGCCAATGAAGTGCAGAAGCTAGTGAAGTGATTTAATGATTCTGTTGAATAAGGTGCGCAATACCATCTCTGTTCCTCCGAGAGAAGCTGGATAATCCCCCCTTAAAAGTACAACTTCTTAACAGCATCGCTATCATCTCCATTTTCTCTATCAGTAAATAATATTCACTCATAAATGTTATAGTTTTCGTGTTGACAGTCGAGGAAGAATGTACGATTCAATGTTCAGAATTCGGTAAGCTACGCAACCTTTAGTTTAAACATGCAGAACCTGAAGCTATCAGTTAGTGGAATGAGGTCAGCTCCTCGGGTTTTTTTGAACACCTTCAATGGCGTGCCAGGTTAAAGCAACTCTGCTTGTCAGTTTCAGGAGAAAAGCTGTTTGAGATTTGCTGGGAACAGTCAAAAGAGTTACGATCCCCGAAGATGACTCTGGCCAACGAACTCCAGTATACCATTGATTGGAAAACGTTCGCATCAAAAATGCATTACTTGTCGGACACGGTCCGTGGAGGATTTACTCTTCATGCCGATCGATCCTCCTGTACTCTCCATTAGCTTTGTAGATGATCCGATAGGTTTTTTGAGCCGATCTTCAAGTGTGTTAACAATTACTGTTCCTCATGCCACAGAATCTCCTGCTCGATTGATTGCATTGGCTACCGAATATCCGAAGGTATATGTTGTCACACAATAATTGGAGCAACAGGGAGAGCAGAATTTTTTCGAGTCAGATACAAGCTCGCAAAAAACCAGGTCGTGTCTCCAACCGTTGGTGTAAAGTGAACTGATCATTTATGGTACTCTTCAAACACAAGTGCAGCCTAAAAATATACTTAGACTGGTATTCGAGATATCAAAGTATTTTGTATCCATAAAGTTTGCAGCCTGCAAACCTCAGTCAACTTTCGATAAATGCACTGATGTGCATACCGAATTGGTTTTCACGAAATACCCACCTGAATATCTATGTTCTTCTTCAGTTGGAGAAAACCGAATCAGTATGCGAATTAAGGATTCCGTGCAATCCTTGTCCCAGTAGAACATAAGGTTGATAGAAACTTGGGAACCACGCCTAACTTATGAGTCCAAAGAGAAACGAAGCCGATCGTGCGCTGTCAAAAAGTTCTGTATGTAGTGTATCACGCCTTTTCAGTCAACTGTACCAGGAAAGTGGTGGATTCATTCTCACGCACTATAGCCCACTCTGTGAACCACTCTAAGTACAAGTGAGCGAAAGAACAAGTCTTGCTAACGGAATTATGAAGCGGAAATTTCACACCAATGTTATTGTCTTACCCTATCCAAATGGCAGATGAAACTCCCCGACAAACGTACATTATTTTGTGTATTGCATAACTGCTTCAGTCAACATCACAATGCTTTTATCAGGCCGGTAGTTCCCGGTTTTCAGGATTATTCACCTCTTTTCCAACTAAGTTTACGAGTGATAAATTAAATTGGTGGAGGGCTAGTATTGGTACTACCGTACATTTTCCAGAACTAGGCAGTGAAGCGTATAGTCAGCGAACTACCATTAATTTTTGCGAACACGAGGTCAAAACAGCGTCGCACGAGAGGCAAGAGAATTTATATTGACTCTATGTTGAAAACCGATCGTTTAAGGTAGATCGGTCAGCTGTGGGATCTCCTCGGTTTTTGCTGCCAAGGATACCGTAGGAATCACCATTCTTAGAGGAGCAGATTACAAATCCGTGCCCACTTCGAACTACGGGGTCGACCACATCGTTCTAATAAACACTGAGAGCCACTCTATCCGCATGATAAAATACTTTTTTCTGGTTTGCTGGAGTGCAAATCTGACTACGGCTTCAAATTAAAGTAGTAAATCTGCATTGCTGAGAATGTGTCCCGGAAAAACTTGATGATTCGTGGCTCGAGATTCTGCGGTTCACAAGCCAAAATCAAATGAGCAACTTTATTGTATTGCATAGAAAATTGAATGGTTTATATTACAAAAAAGAGGTGAACTGATGGGATAGAGAATCATGTACAATGTTCCGCAAACATGTGGGGAAGGACACTTGGTCATCCATTGAGACGCTCCATTTGGCTGATAGAAGAGTAAAACATAACATTTTAGGAGAAGGGTGTTAGCGAATTTTTTTTTCGGAATACGATAATACGCGTTTGAAGAGAAGAAAACCAGTTGGGTGGTAATTTGCACACACTACGAGTCTTTCGGGCGTTTTCTGATGCAAATCGGCGATTGCAACTATGATTATGTAAATGGACGGTTCACTTGTGTACTACAGCCCTACACCTAACGCATCTTTGTCGAGCGCCAATCCTCTATCTGCCAACCTTCAAAACCAGGCCTCGTCGACGACAAACAATCGTTCAAAATATTGTATCATGAGCGAATGCTCAAAAGCGCTTGGGATCCTGAAACGGCGACGATTCACTAAGCTCATCAACCAGTGTAGACAGTCTGGCGATTGTTTTCTTTACAAAAATAAGTGCGGAATTTTTTTACGACAGACCTTCCGAAAGCACAAATGAAAGAAAACTCGACCACCAGCGGATACGCAGCAGGGAACGTCAATTCAGAGACCTTCTAAGAGGAATAATAATAATCGTTCACCCCTAGTGCCCTTTTGGCGTCCATAAGCACATGAACTGAGAGTGTCAGGTTGTCCAATCCTAGACTGGATCAGTCAGAATGCAGTGTTTTGAGTTCGAACCACAGACCTTCCGGTCAGTAGTTTCACTCCCTAACTGCTGAGTGTTCTCGGTGGACTCGATAGCCTTCTAGAAATTGTGCGACTGTTACATCCAGATGTACTTAGTTTTTGTAGTTGTTATTCAGTACCCTAGTTAACTGTGCGCGTGTGTACGACTGCAGAAAACTTCACTGCAGATGGCTTGTGAAAGTCAGTTAAATTCGTTTTCCTTAGGCGTCTAACAACTGGAAGCTCGACAAAGACCACCCTTTTGAAGCGCATCTTCAGGCACCTGGTCATTTAGCGACAGGCGACCACTCTAACGTCAAATGGGTCGCAGGTTCCTGCAGTCATGTTGACCGGGAGCCGATAGCGGGACAACAGTTTTGTTAGCAGCGACTAGAATAATATCGGGCACATTTCATGCATCGCAGACACTTAGTGCCAGGTGAATTTATAAATTTCTTCTTAGACTCCATATATGTAGGTCGAAACAATCCACAATGCACAAATCTGGTGACCGGGCAGGGTATTTTTAGGCGCGAGTCGCACGACAGTCTAATGGAGCTACTCACCTCACACTGCATCTGGACCCATTGTCTGAGTCGTCATTCTTACCCTCCTTCGTTCATCTTTGCACTTCTGCGCCATTCTCGCTCTAACTTTTGCTGGAGATACGCCGAATTCCTGGGTAATTGTGCCTGTGTTTGATGCAAACGGATTAGGGTAAGTAACGAGCTACTGATAAGTGAAACAGTAGTTAAAAAGCACAAACTCTTATTCGGCTGTCAGCCTGGGCGACAACTGTTTTGCTCGGAATGTGGAGCTACACAGGTGTTCCGTTGTGGGCATTTATCCGGGTTAACGAACGAAAATGAAACAAGAGAAAACGGACTGTCAGTTGAGGCAGAAATCACTTGAATCTGAGCCCCCTGACGAGAGTTTTCGTGATCCTGAAAAAAACGCACTTTTTCTATCAACCTTAGGAAGGAAAGACAAGGTCCTAGCAACTGTCACCCTTTTAAAAATAATTCTCTGCTCTCAATGGGGTCTGTGCAAACAAGCCACCTGGTTTTTAAAGTCTAAAAGTGTAACGTAGGTAATGTCTGGACCAATCAGGAAATTCTCTTCGCAATCTTTGTGAGTACTAACGGTTAGCGTCGAAATACTGCGGCTAAAAGACCTTGCTGAGAAAAATATCACAAAATTCCGTTGCTTGCGGAGTACCGGTGTACAGGTCAGAAGCGTCTAAACATATCAGACTTGTCAACCCAGACACGCTGTGTTGAACTTCAAAATCTGTCAACCAGAGACGACAGGTGATTTCTCCGAAATGATAGGTTTGACGGCTGACTGGATGTGATCCGGAGAAATTTCACTAACTGGAGCCAGACTGCAGGTCGTCTGTGAATATAATGAAACCATGTTAGCCAGTACCTGTGGGGCCAAGTAGGGAATACAATATTCTTCCAAGAGGAAATTATAACTGAAGCACGAGGAATCCATATGCTGGCAGAAGGCTTGTCCATAGAATTTCAGTATTCAGGGTTGCAAACAACTACTGAATCACGGGATCTTATTAGAATAAATCTGCACTAGTAAGACACCTCACGTAGTTTTCAGACAATATTATATAGCGACCTCTGAGCTGACCAGGCATGGAAGAAAATTATAATCATTTTGAAGTACAGCTTGGATGGTGTGGTTTTCGACCAGCTTAATTCCTTCAAGACAAGAAAACGTCAATCATGGTTTTACTTGCTAAACGGTCTGGCGATATCATACTTTCTTATGAGAGTTACAGCTGAACACTAAATATTATGCACTGCGATTGATCAGTCAGTAAGCTAATGGGATCGTGCGCGAACACCACTTGAACACAGAACGCAAATTATAGGTGCCAAACGATCAGTCCCTCCGTTGATCAACATAAATTAAGATAAAATGTCTATGTCCAAACTTCTTTGGCGGTTCGTTCGATCGCATTAATCGGGTGACAGAACGGCTTCAGAACTGGAAGCGTAAACCTAAAATGGCTGAAAGACTCCATGAAACTCAAATGAAGCTGACAAAGGTTTCAGGATCCCAGTGGTCAGCTTGAGATCAGTCAAGTGAGCACTCATACTTTACAAAAGTACGCAAGGTGACCCGCGTGTTACAGCTTCAGCTTGCGATCAGTCAAGTGAGCACTCATACGCAAGTACGCAAGGTGACCCGCGTGTTACAGCCATTTAGAGCACATCATTTCCATTTCGATGGTTCCAGTAAACCGTTGTTCCGTCTGCAACCTCCAAATTGTGGAAAGTTTTCTATCAGACCCCTAGAGAAGCGTAGCACGGGTAAGTAGCCTATGGCAAAAATCAATTTTGGGGAGCAAACTATGTTTCTACAACCAGCATTAGGCTGTTCCAAATGTCTCAGCTGGTGGAGAGGACAGTGGCCTAATGCTATCAACGAAATGGAGGGGGAAATATCCTGAGGAGTCATCCCAAACACCTCCAGAGCCTTCTTTATTGATCGTATGGGGACAAATGGGTGACGGTCGATTGTGAAGTTATCCATCCCATTTCGTTCACACACACATATGATCACGCTTTCAGTGAAAGGGTTGGGTCTCTCTCCCTACTCTGGAGCGAACAGCCCAAAAGTAAGGATCAAGTTCGTTCGGTGACATTGAAATTGTCGCACCCAGAAGAGGCCACTCTCAACCGATTTCCTCAAGTCGATGCATCTTACGAAAATGAGATCCTAAGCGGTCCTGAACCGATCTCAACGTAATAACAGTTCCCACGTGAACTGCTGATGGTTATTTAAGCCAGTTATTCAGGGAAATCGAGAGTGACATGGCTTATGCCTGTACGCCGTACCGCCTTTTCGCCTACTGCCTGCTTGGTTCTGATAAGCGGTCCCGATCTCAACGTAATAACAGTTCCCACGTGAACTGCTGATGGTTATTTAAGCCAGTTATTCAGGGAAATCGAGAGTGACATGGCTTATGCCTGTACGCCGTACCGCCTTTTCGCCTACTGCCTGCTTGGTTCTGACTTTTATACTCCTATTATGGGTTCGAGGGTCCTTCAGCTGTCTCAGTACGGTTTGAGATCACATTCACAGTAAACCGGGCGTTGCGTTCGAACTCACTGAATTATTCGACTGCACCCCTTTGCTTGCTTAAATCCGTCTTTTTTCAAAATTAAGTTGAGAATCTTATAGATGAGAATTCCAGCAAAATCAGGATCAAGTATTTTGGTTTGAGGGTCCCCAGGCTTGTATTCTCGTCCATGCTACGTGCTGGACATTCCATACCAGCATCTGTCAAATCTTATGGTTTCTAGAAGACTATTTACTATTCTCTGCAACCCCATGTGTCTCTTCGCTGTCAGTATTTACGCACGAAAGCACGTTCACTTTTTTCAGGCCACTAGAGAGCCTGTCTTACGAAAAAGTAGGGATCACATGCTTGTGTGTGTGAAAACAAGTCTATGGAGTTTGGGCATAAGCAGTAGTATAGACATATTTCCATTCCAAAAATACCAACTTGCACTGCAAAAATGTTATTCATGATCGGATGCAAGATAACTAGTGCACGAAATAGTGAGGTCGCACGGAGCTTCGGTAGGCAGAATGTTGAAACATTATTGCCACGAGTCTGTAGCGATGTACTGTCTAACATCAGTTGGCGGTCCGTATTCTAACTTGGTCTATTTTGCGTGAATGCAAACAAAATACCAAATATTTCTCCAGGCTAGCTGTGGAGAACAGCTGGGCCCATCCATCTTTCATGGCATCACCGAATGTGTAGGAGTTCCATCTAACTAGGAAGCATATATCTACCGGTATTTCAAGTGATACTCTTCACTAAAATGAATTTGATATTCTCTTGACGAGCTGAAGATCAGGGCTCCACATTTTTGTCGACGCCACGTTGGTCATCAGTCTGAGTGGAGACCAGTCAACCCGCCGTTGGTCAACTAAAAGTTGAAAATTCACACAAATACTATTCAAAATACTGGCGGAGAAGATGGAGCTATGTCAGGTACTAGCTAAAAGTTGAAATTCACACAAATACTATTCAAAATACTGGCGGAGAAGATGGAGCTATGTCAGGTACTAGCAGAAGTGGTGCCGGGATGCCAGCGACCGACTCTTTCGTTACGACACCGGCTTTAAAGCTCTGAACTATAGTTAAGATGAAATGTTTCCATTAGTCACCGTGCTCCTTGAGTACGTCAGGTGACGGTAGAACTGGAGCCGAGGCTGCTCCACGTGTCCACCTAAAGAGCTTTGGAAAAGGATATCAGAGTTAATAAGACGGTAGTGGTAACCAACAGACGATTCCTCACCAACAATGTAGTTGACTTTATCAAACGGAAGCCGATTGCGCCGTTCACTACTTCCTCGTCCCAGAACTGTGGATGTTGACAACTGCTCAGGATCAAACAATGCAGACATGAGAGCGCAAGTAGCTCGAGTCCATTCGCTCGATGCCTTGTACATCGACCATGGTCGCCCCAATAAGATATTCGGATTCTCCCCGATTTCCCGTTTCGTGCGGCCATATTCCGTCCAGTCAATTTCTCCCGGAAATTCGTCCTGCAAATTCAACCAATTCTGATCCGTATTGGAATTCGTTTGCTGTTGTTGTGTGGGGTCACAGGCCTGTTGTTGCAAGTCATTCTCGGGAACACCTGTATTCCACGGCGTTCCGGTATCTGCCTGAACTCTGCTATGATGCTCCACGCCTAGAAGCAAACACTCACCGGGTGAACTAGTCTCCGGTTCATGGGAGTCTGTGTAAAAGCTGAGCTTTGGTAACGTTTGGGTTGGGAATGTGGATACAGCAGAGGTAATCGTCAAACCCGGCTGAATGCTAGACAGCTGCGGGGGAGATGCAGCTGTTGGGACCAGTGCGGATGCTGTAGTCTTGATAAATGGATGTGTCGTGGGCCCTGGAGAAAAAGGAAAGTATATAAACCATTTATTTTCACGGAAGATTTATAAGGGCCTTATTGTTACATTGACTCACTGGGAGAAAACAAGGGGTACCAGATTTATGAATAAAAGTACGAAATTTGTCTCACCAGACTGATAGCTGGATCGTTATCGTTAAGCTTGTTTACTACCAGTGTGCGACTGCTTTATTAAGTACGGTTATACTTATATTAGTAAACACAATTGGCCTTTATCTGAACTCGCTGATGATCGATTTATCAAAACACACACGATACCTGCACTCTATTATTTGTTCATCAATAGTGGAACGGCAATACAGTGCTAGTGTAGCCTTATCTCGGTAAGAAGGCCTTGAGGCATGCTTACTGTGACTGAGTTTCATTCACAAGATAGCTGAATGGTTTGGACGCTAGTCTACTGTCCGGAAAGTCCATGGTTGGAACCGAACACGCGAATTTACTGACCGGAAGGTTCGTGGTTCGAATCCGACCTCCGCCACTCGACTTCCCCTGTCTAGGCTTGGGCAACCTGGCAGTATCCCAGCCCTCGTGCTTCCTTCGGGTGGCATGGCAGTTAGGCACCGGAAGGGGGCTACAGCTGAACGCTTTCTTTTTTTTTTTCATCTCAGTCCTCGCGCAGCTGAATAATTTTGTTTTAGGTTCATTTAACAGTATAGGGCTTGGTTAGCCATACAGTGGATGTGAACGTATGGCTGATGCAATAATTACGGTGGAATAATGAGGTGTATTTGCAACCATTGTTCCAGAAATCAAGGGGCGAGGAACTGAGCATCCGGTAGTAAAAAGGCCAACCACCACTACGTGAGAAGAAAATGAACTTCGGCATATCGGAAGTCAACGAATTAATCAGATGTCTATTAAAAGGAGCATATTCCTAGCACATTTCGGTAGGCTAAGCACACAAATCGATCATGCCACAAGGACATACAGCATCACGCTCTAGAATACAAAATGAGCAAAAATTAGACCGAGGTCGAAAGATGCCCGCAGACCAAGGATTATGGCATTTGATCAGTTATCCGATGATTCTGTACAAATACCCTGTGAAACCCCACGTGATAACTTTGGTGGGATGAACACGTGAAAACTTATTGCTTGTTTTGATGAGTTTGCTACATGCAAATTCGATTCGAAGATGAGTCAGGTCACACAACGCAATGCACCTTGGTCAGCTGTCTGTGCGGAAGTATTCAGAGGGATGCGATAACCTTCGAACAAGAGATGACTGAGACTATAGCTGATAAACTTCATAATCAGTTTAGTCAAACGGCGGAACCACATACTTACTTAATGCAATGTCTGAGTTATGCTCCGTCCATGGTGCCTGTCGTGTACCTACTCGGGGTCCCCGGTAGGTTCGTTTGGCCGGTCGTGTCAAGTTGGGACGTCGTCTACGTGGTCGTTCTACCATCCTGTGTGAGGATCGTTTAATATTTTCCAGAGCTAAAAGTACAGATAACAAATCCAATATCGCAAGGCCGTCAAAATAATGATGGTGAAATGTATGACGAGAACATCCTCACAGTGGTTAAAAACACCAGTCCCACGGGGACCACTGGTTAAATACAACACGATCCAAATTACAGCTGGCCCCGAATAAACCACAGCAACATGCGTACACTTCAGGTCCTCTGGCAGGCAGAAAAGATCTATCAGACCCAAATTGTTAGTTCGTGAAAGGTCCTCTTTGTCGCTGGCGGTCCACGATCCCAGAATTAACTTTTTCGGAATGACAGCTGGGCGTGGCAACCTGGCTTGGGTTGGACGACCAGGAAGTAGTGTGTTCCTTATGACTTCTACGAAAAGCACACATCATCCCTGAAGCTGAAGCATACTGTGACTGGACGGCTTGTTTAAAGTCAGGGATTGAAGGAATATTGTGTGCGAAATCATTTTATTTGGGCTTTCCTAAGTTAGATGCTTTAAATTCGGTAGGATTATTATTATAAAACCATATTATTATTATAAAGTAGTACTCCTGTGTAACAATACTATCTTCCAAGTCGCCACATGGCCGCTTAAGCCAGTGGAAGAAGGTAGAATGGGTGCCTCTCAACTATAGCTACCTCTCCCGTACAGCACAGGTGGCCTAATGTTACCCACTGGGTGTGACCCATGCTCACGATCTAAGTAGATATTCGCTTAACGTGTTGGTTCAGTCAAAAAGACACTGCGTGCCTTATCGCCATCATAGATTGTAGGAAAGTAGTTGTACGAGGACTGAGTTTTGGAACTGGGTGCGCGGCAAATGAAACCAACAAGAATCTGTTTACATACTGTGCTCATAAATCATTCAGGATATACAGGGTTCGATGCCAACAATATGGAGTCCGCTATCGGAAAAAGAGACTGAAGGCTTTCTGAGAACGTTATAAAAACGGTGAAGATAACTAAGTATATCTGCCGAAGAAGTTAGGTTTTCTCGAAGCAATCCGATCGACGTAAGCTCGTATAGCGAGTGCACTTCACTTAGTTCACTTTTCACTCACTTCTCTTAGTTAAGTATCATTAGTTAAGTCCATCAATTTTGTTTGCACCGCTACCACCTACATCACGTGCGACGCGTACAAACTTTGTCCCAATCAGGTCAAGTTGCTTTTGTTCACCTGTCAGGTGGGAATCGCCGTGTGTGATTTCCCATAGTGTTTTCACATTACGTACAATAAATAACTCGTGCGTACACACAGAACAGGACTCAAAAGGTCCACGGACGACTGAGGGATCTCACTGTGCCAGAACACGCCACGCACATACTGAAACAATATACATACCCATTTTTCCAAGATAAGTTCTGAACACAGTACTGACTAGTGTGTAACAGTCAAAGTGTTCTATCGGCGTCACCAAACGCGCATGGCGCGAATAATTGGTTATGGCTATCATGTCAAAACCATCCCAAGCAATTCTTTTTTTCAAAATCTCACTGAATCCAGAAAGGCCTATTGTTGTGGGTTGAAAAATTGAATCAGACGACCTTTAAATGAATAAATTCATGTGGCAACATTCAAGAGAGTTAATCACGTTAGCGACGACTGATCCAGTTGGAACTGGCTTATTGAGTGACTGGTACCAATCAATGATGCTAGGCACAAAGTCTGATAGTACGTAGTAGCAAAAATGCATACTAATACCAAGCTTAAGCGCCGCTATATTGCATCCAGGGTTTTTGTTTGCTGTCCAAATACACTGTCTCATGACTGATTATGCCAAAGCACTGAGGTCTTTTAACACTGATGATGACAACTGAGGGGGGCTAATCGCTCCCATCCGAATTGCAACACGAATCGACAGTGATGCTTGTTTCTAGCTTTTAACCCTTGAGATTCTCACAGAACCACAATAATTGCTTTACGAAACAACTTGACTTGCTAGTTATCAAGCGATAAAATAACGCTATTCTGCTACTCCAGCTATGTAAACTTGGACTGCTGCAATTAGCTTGGCCGCATTATTTGTTACCGATTGAAGCATTCTATCCAGTCAACTTCCTGTCTTCTGTTACGAGGCTATTGGCTGATCGTTTGGTCGTAACACCCTTCCGGTGCCCATCCGCCATGCCACCCGAAGAAAGCACGAGGGCTGCGATATTGTCAGGTCACCCAAGCCTAGACTGGAAAAGTCGAGAAGCGAAGGTCGGGTTCGAACCACAGACCTACCGGTCAGTAGATTCGCGCTCTAACCACAGAGCTATCTCGCCCCCTATTTGCTGATCACCTTTGAATGAATCCGTAGAACGAGAGCCCCAATTTACGTTCACTTTCCTCAAAGTTGAAGGTTTTTTTGGCGAAAAGACAAAAATGCTGCGTGTTTGTGAAGGACTCATGCATGCATTTCGCCGTTGGAAAATTGATCGTGATTAGAATGAGACAGCAGGACAACTAAACAAATGATTTCATCACAAGCTTATCCAAGTGCTTTACAATTCTTCAGGCCATTTAGTACAAACTCCACGTTCGGTGTCATGGTTGCTAGTTGCAACCATCGGATTGCCTAGCTTCGGTCGCGCTCGTGCAAGCAGGACGTCTAAACATTCGACAACGGTGTTTGTTTAGTGAATGTAGGCACTTCCATTAAAGCAGGTTCATGCTTCAGATGCTGTTCGGTCGTCGAAGCATACGCCTAATAGATACAACACAGGTATCCTGAGGATGTTGGTTTAGGTGATTACCGAGAGATAGCTAGTACAGCGGGAGTTGGAACACCTACGGAATCCCGCAGGAACTGGAGCCTGAGGGGGTCAATTAAAATGGAGTGTGCTAGGGGAACCGACGTAACCAAGCACAAGAAGTTCATTCTTTCGTGCGCCCTGAAAGGTCTGGTTAAGAAAAGCATACGTTTAAGCCTGTCCGACTTCTCAGGCCTCCAGGTGGCTATAGAGTTAATAATTCGACTTACTGTATCAGAAGCGCAAACGCCCTAAAAAACCGTAGTTGCTTTCTTTGCCTACTAGGGGTAGTTTTTTTTAATAAGAACTTTGCATCCTATGAGTAGATTATGCGCTCTTGTCGAAGATTATCGCTTCTACTATCAGTTGTAAACAAGATTTGACTCGTGCTCTTCGCTGTGAACTGTCTACGTCCTGTAAAGTCCTTATCTCTGTTGGAACATGAATCTCCACCTAGCAGCATGGACATACACGCTGTTCTGCAGTCAGGCGGTAAAGACAAACAAGCGAGATATAATATAAGAGATAAACGACTGCCTTTCGTCATAACTTCGCGAGATACGCACCAAGCTAATCAGCCCACCTGACAATCTCGTTCCTGCAGTGCTGTCCGATTCCCGCGAGTTCACTTGATGTGCCAGTTCCTGTAAAACCGGCCTCAACGGGGCGTCAGCAATGGATCCTCCACGACATTGCTGCTGGTTTGTCATAAGTGCAGCGCCATCTATTGATAAATCGTTCTGGACAGCGATTGATCTGGTTGGACGTACGGGTTGTACACTGGGATTATCGCTTACCGCATCAACTGTGATGGAAGCGGGTGGATTGAGGAGCGCTGGGGACAACAATGGTCTCAAGGACTCCATCTGACAGAAAATGAGAAGCAAGAACTTCCACATCGTTATTTTTGAAATCAAGGATGTATATACTAACAGATAAATAAATAAATAAAATAAATAAAGAAATTAACAGGGCGGTTGTCGTTAGCTTGGGTTCGAATCCGAGTCCAAGAAGTAGTCCGCGATTTCATCCGTGCAGTTATCTAGGCCCAAAAATAATAGCTACTGTTTGGATGTACTTTGGGAGAAATGAGTGAACGTGACACCATTCTTCCTCAGCGCGAACCCGCGCTAGAGCCAAATTGATTTTCCCAACCTTAAAAATAAGAGCTGTATGGGTGCGTTCAAGGAGTAAAAACCATCTTGGAGGCGAACTCTTGATGACACAGTGACTAGCTACTGACGTCCATAAAGAATGTCAACTTTATGAGGATCAGTGTAGACTGAATTGGTCATGGTAAACGGACTGAGCCGCTCTCTAACACGCATAAGACCACTGGATGACGCTGGTTTAGGCGGTGAACATATGAACTGTACTTTAGGAGTCTAGACTAAATATCCGGAGTTCATGCTATATCAGTGATCCAGATGCTGAAATCTCATCCGGTGGGACAAGGAGGACATAGTGCTGCATTCCCAGTCGATTAAGACATCTGACCATACAGATCGTTGGGCCCTCATTAAGATAACTGTCGTATCGTGGATGAACTAATTTCCCGAACAAGAAACAAGACCACTGTTGAGGTCATGACAGCGCGTGCGCCTCACCGGTTCGAGGTGAGCGAAAAGTCACTGCTGTGCTGCTAATCGTTACTATATTAGATTCATTATCCTAGTTGAAAAACAGCATGCGATTTTGATTACTTACTATCAGCTAATAACACTGCGAAAGTGATTCAGCGAAGGAGCTTTGACAAAACGTTGAGGATAATTGACTTGATGGAGATTCCGTCCTGTAAGTAACACAATCCACGCTAAAGAGCCCGAAAGCACTGTGGATCATCTTTATTGAGAATCATTAGCAGTCTGAGTTCGAATTAATCGAACTGTTGTTAAGCCGCTCGTGCCCGAACGGTCGCGCGGTCAAATTACTAGGCCAAAGGTCATGGGTTTCGTGAGATGCGCATTGCTGGTGATTCCCAGAATTTCCAAACCTCCCAACCAACACAACAACCGATTTGTATGTAAAGTCCAGCGTCAGTCACATCGGCGTGTATGGCACACATAACGTGGTGCTCGCTTAAAGCGACCATAGCCAACAACAACATTCCGGAGAGCTGTAAAATTTCCAAGGAAAATTTATGCTGGAGAAAAACTTCCCATCCAGCCACAGCACAGATGAAGTATCAGCATATTTTTGAGCGAGCTTTTCGCATATGACTGGCTTGCAGGTTCTTTGTTTGTTAGATTGAGTAAACATATGCGAGACTAACGTATAACGCTGGATGGTATGTAAAACTGGAACCTCAACTTGTACTAATTCAGATTATCCAGGGCTGTGTAGCCGTCCAGTAAGACTATATTCAGGGTTGACAAGTGCGCGTTCATCATCATTATCACCAAAGACAACATCAGTGCTGACACTGATGCTTCACAACCATAAGGTTCGTCGACTTATATTTAAAGCCCTTGAGTAAAAAGTAGGTGAGGGACCTATATCAAGCATTCTGAGGTGCTTACACCTCCAAGCGCTCAAACAGACAACCCCACGAACGCCACTGACATCGACTGGCCGCCATTTATTGCAATGTCTCCGGCCAAGCACAGGCGGGGTCACGGAGAACCCATCCTGGAAAGCGTAAAACACCCAAAGTCTTCGTGATCTTTTTCGTGCCTTTCTATCAAATCATGCGTTGCCCACCTGGAGGTTCGCGCCATTTTGAAGGATGCACGGAGAACAACATTTGCCTCGGTAGGCGGTGCAAACACTTGGCGAAATTCTTGAAGAGAACCACGCCACCATTTGTGGTTGTTTTGGTAGGATAATGAAACAGACATATGCTTTACATTATACGTCAATTTAACACAGTACCCCCTAGAGCATTTATCCCCTAATGATAGATTGGAAGATTCATTATAAAAAAATCCCCAAGTTAACGTGGTGTTTAGGGTAGATTGGCTGATAGCCGAAGCGATCTACTCCACACCTGCCAGCGCGTCACTTGTCTGAGTATGTTGAGGTTTTTCTCGCTTTCATACGTGTGACAATAGATCTCATGCTATATGAATTGAGATATCGGACGGGTTTGCATGATAAGGCGGCCACGCAGGCTTCCAAGATCGATTGGTTACGAGTGACGAGAACTCAGTAGCACTCTAATGGTCAGAAAGTCAATTTTACTACGACAATTGCAGTCAAGTCTCACTACATATTTGAGCAGGAGCTCATAATATTGATATCCAAGTTTTGGACTGTATTTGAGTCAAACTTCATAAAGTGGTCGGGACATTATTCTAAAGACCACTGAAAACTTCGACAGTCTACGACCGGTTTCAGCCTTCTTGAAGCTCATCACGAAGAAGTTCAAAAGCGAATCTAAACTGCACCATCTGGACACCGGCATCCTTTGCAACGGATTCGGTATATTGTTTATAACTACCTCAAGTGCCCACTCAGAAGTGAAAGTTGTCTGAGATACGCAAAAACACTCCAGAAATCTTTTGTCTGTTCGATTTTCAAAGATTTTTATGTTCCGACTAATTTATCAAAAAAGCCTTGCTCTTCGAAGATGTGATGTCAAGTATATATAACTCCTCCATCACGAACCGGTAGGCGCATTTTTCTTGACCGAGTGTGCTTAAAAAGAGACGAGTGAACGCGATTAGCAATTTTACGAGGACAAGCTCTGAGTGCGCAGATGAAACCGGAATGGCTGCTTCGATAACCATTAGGCCCGCGGCACGTGCCTGCATCATCGTTGTCATCAGAAATTCTTCGTTGAGTCCAAAATCCTCCTTGAATCTATTCACAAGGTTACTCAGGACTCTATGATAGCTCATGACCGGTTTCGCCCTTATGGGGTTCATCAGGCAGGGACAGTCCCCGAATTTCCGTCAACCTTACATCTTACCCAGGCCCTCATAGAAGAAAAATGAAAAAACAGCTTCTCGTCCCATAGCCTGGAATGCCTTTCTTCTCAGTAGCCACAGAAAACATGCACTATCGTTTTTTGGAAAGTTCGACACATGGATTTGTTTTACTCAGAGCTTATAGGTAGCAGTGCGTGGAAGAAAACAACTACTTTATTAAATTTGACTCGGATGTAAATGAGCAGTCTGGTCTTCCCAGTCAGTTTTGGACGATCCGAAAACATAGCTCACGAGGAATAGACGCACGTAGACAGTGGTGGATCGTTCGGACGGAATGACGCTCTGCATCCGTGCCAAATGGGAGTCTAACCAGACATTCGAATCATCTATACAACACATTAGACCAAAATTTTCGGATTCCTCCTCCTGAGTTCCCAATGCACGGCCATCTTACCCCTCATCTCTTTACATGAACGGTGGACGCCACACCTCTCAATATGGATCCCTCCGAAAAGAAGTCATCTTCCTAAAGAGTACGCAGCAATACCTTGATGGCAGTCTGAAGAGACTGTGGAGTTTCAGCCAAAATTGCGTCCTGCAATCGGTGTAGACACAAGTATACACACTCAGAAGCGAATTCGGTGCATCGGCAGGGATTCATACGAATGGCGTCTAGTACTGCAATGAAGCGAAGACTGTCTGGATACCGTAGACATGACGACTCGAACCTGGACTTTGGTGAACAAAGAAACCTCTGGAATAGGTCACATTAACAAACGTATCTATTGCTGTTCTCTGAATTATTCAGCCAAAATCCTTTTATCCGCTGTACATTCTTCCACCGTCTCAAAGTGATGAAAATAACTCCTTCCAATGGGATACGATACAACATTGCAAACTCTTTAAATGCATTGGTTAACACCAGCGTGGATGGAACAAGGAAGTTTCTTTTCAGTAAAGAAAATTTGAAGTCAGTAGAGCGTTGGGGACATTGTCGACCAAATTCAGTAATACCATCACAGCGTCTTCATGAGTCTTGTTGCAAGTTCTATTGTTAATGAAGAACGAGAGCAAAGACAGCAGGCCAGTGGGCGTTGAGCATTGTGTTCACTTTCCGGGGGCTCTAACATTTGTTTTATTTTAGACTCGGAAGAATAAGCATTTTTGACTTACACAACCACTTGCATAGAAATTTGATTATGACGCAAGACTCACCTGGAACCTAGTTGAATCTCTCGTTTGTGATGTTCAGCTGGGTTCTACGTGAGTCTCCCGTCAAAAACAAATCGATAAGCAGACGAGTGTATCGGTCAGAGTTCGTGCGATTTGAGTCCAATAAGAACATACGGTTAACGGAAACCCGTGAAGTGCACCTTCCTGATGAGTCCCAAGAAGGGCAAAACCGGTCGTAGGTTGTCGAAAGGCTTTCGGCGACCTTATAAGTAGTGTCGAACGCCAAAGTAATCTTTAAGCAACACCCTGGTTTCCTTTTATCTGTGCTACGTAGCGTGCTAAAACAGGGAGATATTTTGAAGGTGTGATAATTCCGACGTTTCGGTTATTGCGAGTAAGCTTTCTCGATAAATCGTACAAACAAAATCAGCAACAGGCAGCGAATGAGATATCGTTGGAAAAATGATAATGAAACCTGATTCGTGAATGGATTACGTGAGCAATGAAGGACAATGTGGTGACTGATGCACTTTGCTGTGAAATGTGTGTGTCTGTGTGTCGAATTCAGAGGACTATGTTGCATCAGTCTGTGTCTGTGAGGTGTGCGTGCGACGTTGGTCAGGAATACTGCATTCCATGCGATTTGTGTCAACGCATCAGGCAGGTGAGCCTTACCCAGCTGGCTGAAAGACAAATCAAAACTATGTAATTAACACAGGTTGAGCAGTTTTGGATCTCGAAATACACTCATTTGCAAACAAATTTAATTCTTCGGGAGACTCACCTGGAGCCCAGCTGAATCGCTCATTTGTGATGTTTCCAGGTAATTGGGTGTGCTGCATCAGGCCGCCTCATGTCTCAGTCGCTACGATATTCGAGATATCGCGACACATGGGGCGCGCCTTCGACACACAATCCGTTTTTATGCAAAACTCTTGTGGGTGAAATAAAAACTTTAACCCCAAAATGTTGTACTTCTTCGCATATGTGCTCAGTCCAAAAATCACCCTCATCTGCCGTCACTTTTTTGCGGCTTTGTCTACGGAGGCAAAGGAACCAAATGGCAGTCACCTCTTATTTTCTTGAACACAACCGCAAGTTATCAAAGTTTCTGTACGACCGGCTTCCAGTTAATCGACGGCTAACCGAAGACGAGTTGGGCAACCGCAAGGCCCTTCTGAAATATGGAAGGCCCTCACGTGAGGTGTAGCAGTTTGTGGCGGATGAATTCGGTAAGATTCTTATTACTCAGGATATATACAACTACCGCCGGAAGTGTTGACCGCCTATGTTGAGTAGGTACCGCATAGTTGGGTTTTAATTAGGCAGATGATATGCCTTCGGTCCTGGCAAAACTTCGGGAGACCGGACGCGTGCTTGTGTGCCAGTCAGAGAAAGGTCACTATAGCCACATATGCTTCTCCCGATGGCAGCAAATAGCGTTGTTCCGAGGCCTTCC